CCTAAGAATTTATATATCATTTTGAACAAAATGGGTTACAAGCACTTGTGTTGGTGCAGCTAATGATCCCTCTTGTGGTCCTCCATCAAGGGGTCTTTCTAATTGTTGTGTTCCTTACTGAATTTTTTTTTGTTTTTCTCTTTTCTGCTATTTTGTTTTGTTTGGTCTGTAATCTTAACTGGCTTCTAACCAGGAATTCTGAACTCTTAATGACTACATGATATTTTTTTGTTTAACTCATGTTTACTCTCTTCTATTTTGATGAAGTCAAAACGGGGAGAAAGATTAAGGATAACTCACTTATACTAATTGCATCTAATACACATATCAAAGTTGGTTTTACAGTTTTCAAGATATCTTTATCTTCATCAAATAGGGGGAGACTGGTGAAGAAGTTAATAAGAAGGATCTTGGAAGACTTGCTAAAAAGATTTGATGAAGTCAAAAGAAGATGTGAAAGTGAAAAGAATATGTTGTGTTAGTACATTAGTGTGTATGCATCTACATTATGTGGGTATAAGCATATATCCTCTGCTTAAGCATGAGTTTCTTTCTTTTACAAAGTATAAAGTGTCTCAAGTATTTTTAATTTGTTAAAAATCATTTTAATTGATTAATATGTTCTTTAGTTGTAATTTTAATTGATATATTTTCAAAATAATTGATTCAAATCACTTAAACAACTTGAGATAACTTTACGTCGCAGTTTTAATCGATACATTTTCGAAATAATCAATTAAGTTCACTTAAGAAGCTTTAGAAAACTTTTTATCATGATTTTAATTGGTATATATTCTAAATAATCAATTAAATTCACTTAAGAAGCTTTAGAAAACTATTTATCATAATTTTAATTGGTATATATTCTAAATAATCAATTAAATTCACTTAAAAAGCTTTAGAAAACTTTATGTCAGAATTTTAATTGATATAACTTCGAAATAATTGATTAAAAACACTTAAACAATTTTTGTATCACAGTTTTAATCGATTAAACCTCATTTTTATCGGTTAAAACGCCTCTAGAAAATATCTATAATTATTTTAATCGATTTAACCTCGTTTTTATCAATTAAAATGCCTCTGAAAAATATCCATAATTGTTTTAATCGATTGAACCTAATTTTCATCAATTAAAATGCCTCTAGAAAATATTCAAAATTGTTTTAATCCATTAAACCACGTTTTTATCAGTTAAAACATCTTGAGAAAAAAATTGGCAGAATCTTTTTAGTCGATTAAAAAGCATTTGCATCAATTAAATTCATTTAATTTAGGTTGTTTTAATTGATTAAAATGTGAATTAATTAATTAAACGTAGCAGTCAGTTGAAAAAATCTCTATATAAACAGACTTCCTCCTACTTTTTAAATCATCATCTTTGAGAAATAATTTAAGTAATCTTTAAAGATATTTTCCAAGAGAGAAACGCGCTTCACTCATCAGAATTCTTTTGAAATCTTACTTGAGGCTCTTTGTTCTTGTTTTTTAGGAAACTCATTCTGTGATTGGATCTTTGCATCTACATATTGATTTGATTGTTGTAGTTTCTTCAAGCATTTCAATTCTCCATTTGTCTCTTGGTATTTTCGGTGTCTGGAAATGTGGGCACTGGGTTAAGCAACTTGAATTGCGGTTGCTGTCATTTGTTCAAGAATTGGGTTATAGTTCTTGATGTAGATTATTTTTTGCAATTTGTTCTTGTAATCAATTGGTATTTGATTAGTGGAACTCAACTGGAATTTGGTTGAGAATTGAATGTAGCCTAGTGGATTGGGTGAACCAGTATAAACTTGATATTCTTGTTTTTCTTTCATATCTTTCTTTCTTTTAAGATTGTTGTCATTTGGTTCAAATATTGATTGGGTTCTTAAATCTTTGAAATTCATAATCTGTAACTAGAAGTTGCGAAAAGTTTTTTATTAGATCAATTCACCCCTCTTTTAATCTCAGCCTATATTTCTAACACCTACAAACATAAGATGGACCAATTTTAATTTCAGCAACATTTATATCTTCATCATTTTCACTCAGTTCTTCATCTTTATTTTCCTGCAGAATATCGAGCGATTCTTTAAACTTATCTATCCCAACATATCCAATTTTATCCTTCTTTACTACCTAACCAAATTTATGGTATCTCTCTTTTTCATATTTAATTTGTTCGACCCTCCGAACTTTATCTGTTAAATGAGTCATATCCCTCAGAGGCGCATTTACTAACTTTTTCCTTGTGGAAAACTCCAACCTTGCAGCTGCCATTCTGACTACCTCACTCTCAAGGATTTATGTAAAACATATTGATCTCATTTGTCTAAATCTATTCAGGTAGTCATTTATATTTTCACTCTGATATCTTTACACATTCATCAAATCAATCAAACTAACCTGAGTTTCTCCTCTAATGAATTGCTCATTAAAATTTCTATCCAATTGTGCCCAATTAAATATTGAATTTGGAGGCAGTGTTATGAACTAAGTAAAAGCATTTTTTGTTAAAGAACTTGAAAAATATTTCATTATCAAACGCTCACTCGTTAGAAAATTCCCACACTCAATTTAATACCTAGCTATATGTTTGGCAGTAAATTCCCCAATATCACCTGCAAATTTTGTAAACTTTGGGACTAGGCAACTCAGCTACTAACACAAAATCAAGAAAGGGTGAAATAAAATACGGCTGATTATATAATCTCATTCCCTCATCCGATTGATTTCAATGCTCGATTACTTGATTATAAGTTTTGTTGATAATTCTCATTATTCTTATTATTCTGATTATTCCTTCTTATATTATCCCAAACATGTAGAATTTGATCTGCATCTTGACCTCTATTGACCATCCTAACATCCCTATGCAAATTATTATTATTTCCTTGCATATTCCAATTATTATTGTTTTGTTCTCCAGGGGTTCAACTTGTTGATTATTCCTTGTTGGCACATTATCATTTGTTATGTTATTCCTTCTTGGGATATCAAACGCATCTCCTATCCTTATCATTATCTCTGCTAACTGCTAAAAACTATTGGTATTTGTTCGTACTAAAGGATTTAAAATAGTGGTTATTTGTTGAGACAACATATTGACCATTTCATGATTACTATCGTTCATTTGTTGTCTTATGACCCTTAACATGTTACTTGATATCCATGTGTTTATGTTATCGAAGTTATCTTGATTTCTATTATTCCCCCTATCATTCCCAATCTTAACTGATTTTGACTTTGATCATTCATCCTACTAGTATTTGGGATTCGTTGTCATGATAGCATTCCCTAGAAATACCTTTCCGCTATTGGAATTCCCTAATTATTTCTTTGGACCGATGTGTTCCCACTAGTCATATGTAGCCCTATATTAGTGCTACCTATCATGTTATTTATTGGTTGAATCATTTATTGACTGCTTTGACTACTAGTATTTAGATCAATATTTATGCCCTGAACAATTTCACTCCCATGTCTCACATTTTGATTCATTATTATTCATTATAGCGCTATTGGGTATGGCCGCAGAATTAGGTATTGATGTTTGTGTGTTTTGATTTGTCATTATCATTCTACCATTTCTCAATATCATGCATTAGCACTATAAAGGTAGTAGTGTCTTAGTAGGCATGTCAATTTGTTTCTAGTGTAAATGATTCGTTGTTTGATATAGATGAATCACTTAAACACTATCTGGGTTCTTAAATTTATTTAAAATTTAGTACACAGATTTCAATCAAAGATCGTTCGTATTCAAATTTTATATTTAATACAATCTGAAACATTTATTGTAAATTGCAAGAATAGTAAGGAACTATAAAAGTAAATTGTTAAAAAGTAAATGTGCAAAGAAATTAAATGGTAGAAAGATAAATCTAACTCATTACCAAGGATAAAACAGAAATTAATAAAGAAAATCAACTAAAGTGACGATCCAAATTGCAAAGAACTTTATTGAAAATGTTTGTTCCCAGTTCATAATGTTTTTCGAATGCAAGTTTCTTCATACAATTTGAGAATCACCTCTATTACAACTATTTTATCCTATATTTATTTTTTAATGTAACCACCAAGGTTACATAAAATAAAGTAATAATAATAAAAATATAAAATAAAACTATTAACTAAAGTCTTTAAATGGTTATTTCCTTATACATGCCAAGGAACATAATCATAATCGTCTTCATAAATTTCTCATACACCACTCAAAAATCCTCCAATATAACCTCCTCATGATATTTTGTTTCTTCAATACATTGTATCTTTGTACTTTAATATTTTCCACTCTTTGATTTCTTGACTCTCAATGCTCGACTTCTTCGATATCTCTCGAATTTTCTTCTTTCAATAACTCATAATAACTTTTCTACCTCTATAATATACATTTTTCAATTATTACATTTATCCTTCCAAAGGTTGGATATCTCTATTTTTTATATATTCTTTCTACCTATTTCTAATGTTTAGATTTAACATATACATAAAATGAAGATATAATTAATATCTTATTTAAATTCAAGATATTATGTAATTAAGAAATACGTTAATAACTACAAATATATGGAGAGTATTCGACTCACACGGTATATTACAATAACTTAAAATGGGAACTATTAGAAGAATTTTTATAAATACAAAACTAAATCCTTTTTAAGTACTAATAAATATATTGAATATTTCAGAGAATTATGAAAATTTTATCTAAGAGTTTTTTTTTCTAATGAGAACATGAAAATATTTTTTTCATAATAAAAAAGGTAATTATAAAATTTATATTGATTGAGTTTTTTTTTTCCTGGATTGTTGTTTTTATCTGTTCTTCATTCAGTATTTGACATGCTATGCAGTTAGTTTCTTTTTCGTTTCCCATTCTACCAAAATTGGTTATATATAGTGTAAGAAAACATATAGAAAAAGGTGTTACCATAAATAAATTGTTTCACAAAGAGATTTATGCTATCTCCTAAACCAACAGCAATAAAATTTCAACCCAAAGAAGGAAAAAAAAATTAAAGTTCTGCTTTAGATTCATTTTCAGAGTCATCAGTTGTCATCTTCTTTTCTGCTGTCTTATGAATTGCTCTTTCAACTGCTATTGCTGCTTTTGCTGCTGTTTCAGCACTTTCCTCGAATGTATCTTTAAAAGTTCCTTTGTTTTCTTCTCCTACCTCTCTCCCACCCCTGAAACTGGAAGATACATAACATTACCACACAATGAAAACATGAATGATGAAGAAAGAATGAAACGAATGTTTATTCATTCTAGTCTCTATTTATATACATTTTTATTTAATCTATAATGAGTAAAATGATGTAGTTTTATTCTATATATACACAACTTTTTTAATCTATAGTAATCACGAGATAAAACTATATCAATTTGTTATTAAATGCAGAAATGAAAGAATTAAAGATTTGAAATAGGGAAAACCTAAACCTAAATTTTAATACTTTTTGAGGAACCAAAAGTATAAATAAAAAAAGAAACGGGTTTGAAAGAGTAAAAACATCTTAACTTACTCCAAATTTGGTGGAGAAAACTGCATCTGCAGATCATGTATGACAGTTTTCATTTTCTCCCAGGAGCTTTTGTGGGACTTTCTGAGAAGAGAAACAGTATCCATCAATACCTTAGAAAAAAGTGGTTTTTCAGGGTGGTTTTGAGCATCATTTTGGCCACCACCTTCATCAAGTGTTGCAGGTTGAAATTGAAGAATGAAGAGGGCAAAGAATACAATGGTTATACTGAAATTAACCATGTTAATCGATCAGTAAGCAATTGTTGGAGGAAGGTTGAGAAGAATGAAAGCAAGGTATTTGGTAGTTAGTAGCTTGACATCTCTCTACTTTGGCACGTTCTATTCTACTACGTGGGGCTTCTATCTTGCATGTAGCAACTGCTCCACGTCCATAATTGAATTTTTCAAAATTCAAACATTCTAATTATTTCTACAAAAATCAAAAGAAACTCAAAACAGATCAAGAGAAATGAAAGTTGTGGACAAGCTTATTTCTGGTGCTTCAACAAAACTCTTGGCACGAAATTATTTCGTCTTAGAATCTAATTAGGATACATTAATAATTGTCATCAATAACGTGTCATATAATAATTACTTTAAAAATAAAGTCTAGAATAATTTCTAACAAATTCACAGTATAAAAATAATTACGGTATTTCATAATTAAACTCTGTATCTAGCAACTAGAAACCACCAAAAGTATCAATTGTGAAGAGAAAAATTTATGTTATGAAATGAAGTTTTTAATTAGAGTTGCTTAAAAAAAAAAGAATATTTTATTATAGGTTTTATAGTTGAATTGGTTAAAATATGATTAGAGTTACTTATTTAAGTAATTTTTTTTCAATTTTAAATAACTTTTTTTATTTTTAAACAACTTAAATGTACTATCCATAATAAAATATTTATTTTTATTTCTACTCACTTTTATTAAAAATGCTCTTAGGTTTTCAAAGTAACAGAAATGCTCTTAGGTTTTCAAAATAACAGAAATGAGGCAAAGACTAGCATTCCATAGCATAGATTTAAATTCCTCTTCTTTTCTTTATTAATTTTCAAATTTAAATTACGAATTGAAAAGTTACTCAAAAAATATCATAAAATTTCACCAATAAACCAAAACGTCATGTTAATCAAATTTTAGCTAATCCACTAAAATACAGAAATATTATTTTACCAAAAACGAAAATATTCAATTATACAAAATTCGAAAACATCTCAAATAAATAATGAGGCCGGTTAATAGAACTGATTAAGACCCAAACGAAAATAAATATTCTGTATAAAAATCAGTCAATATTTTACTATTAGACTCAAATAAAAGTTGTCAAAACCGTTTATATGAAAAACATATTTTAACATAGAAATTATTTGGTAACTAGTACTTTCACGTGTCCATAGTTCCAACTTTGACCAATCTCAATGTGACAATTATTCAAATTTGTTACCAGTTAATATTTTTTCCTTAAAAAGTGTTCAGCTTGACTGTACTCTTACATCCAAACTGGATTTTATGAAGAAAAAAATTTCCGACATAAGACCATTCAGCGGTTTTATCTCAGTGGAATACATCGTATTTGGAGTGCTATGTTACTAATAATACCGTTGATAGTTTGAATAGCAGGAAAAGAAAGGTATGATATAAAAGAATGGAGCATATATCATTTAAATTCTCCCCAAACATTGAACAATTAGCTCCTCTATCAACTGAGAAAGCCTCTTAAAACGAATGAATCAATGGACAAGTTACAATCGGAACAAAGAATTTAAACATGCATATAACTTCGTTCCATGCAAGAATACATCCATGTATTAGCAATGACTAATTACCAAAAATACACAAATAAATCTTCAGACATTAATATCTGATCGCTTTGTTCTGGCCACAGCACTGATTTCTGAGGTTCCTGACAAAGAAAATCTAGGGAAACTATAGTTTTCCGTCACCGAAACTGGCTGTTGAGGATAGAGTGTGGGTGGCGGTGTTAGATTGCGTTGTGCTGGAAGTGGGGGAAGCGTGTTGTACTTGTAATGATCACTGCTTAGACTGCATTCAAACAATAAACTTTGTAAGGAGTGGCCCTCAACAAGCTGGAAAAAGGGCAAACAAAAATCTTTCGTTGTTGAATCATTGAGAATGAATAAACGTTTATTATAATTACATCACCAAACCACCAATCTGTGCGTAATCTCTCAACTACCACTCAATAAAATGATCTGGAATTTTTTCAGCCCATAGAGGCAAACTTAAAATTGCACTATTAGTCTTTCCATAGATGAAAAATATGATCAACAAGGCATCCAAAAAACTGCGGCTATGGTAGTGATGATAGAAGCACAATAGCATTCGAGCACCAAAATGATTTTAGAAGAATTGTAGAAAATACCGTTTATTATAGGACTGATCATCTTCTATGAAATTTTCATCTATACGCTGAGCTGGTCTCTGAACAGAAGGAAAGGACCATGCCGGTGAAGGTATTTCATCTGAGAAATATCTTCTCCTGATCAACTGAAAGGAAATCTACCAGAAAACTTAAATGACAACCCATAATAAAATTTAGAAAGACAGAGATCAAAGACCATACTGACCATGCGGAAAAATTTCATCAATGCCTCCTTGTCATACCTTGCTTCTTTAGCAGCCTGTAGACATCCAACACAGATATCACAACCATTACAAGAAGAATGAATTGGATAGAAACTATGCAGCAGAATGCAAAATCTGGGCAGTTCTCTGCCTCAATTGTTAGCAAACATGATTTGGTACTTCATAGGGGAAACATGTATTTCGGTTCAGAATATCAACGTGAGAAATAAAGATTCTCAGACAGTATAGCATCTCCAGTCTAACATTTCCAAACACAGCACAGTGGGCAATGGGTGAACTAAATTCATTATTCATTGCGAGAGGCTCCAAAAAATATGCATTGATAACCTTTAAGATTAGTTCAAAAGATAAAATGTTTAATGATTAGCCTCAATTTTGAAAATGAATGAGAGCAGAAAAATCTGCTTATCAAGATGGTGGCACCAAATTGAAATGAGATGTTTAAATGCAGGTCATCCATAAATGATCCGGATGCAATATAAACTTGTTCTGGATTATGAGAAGGGTCATGAGGAGAAGCCTTTTTGTGGTACTCTATAAATGCATCCCATTCAATGAGCTAAATAATACTCTTCATATGCAGTGATATTGTCACAAAAATAAAATAAGTACAGATTATTCATGTTTAAAACACATTTTATATGTTTGAAAAAACAGCAGTAGCTAGCTTTAAAATACAAAACAACTAAAATTTTAAATTGCTACTTGCTAGTAGTTTAAATTCTCTAGTAAATAGCATTCGCATCGGATTTATTCAAACTACCTGAATACAACTTTCGAATTAAAATGAGGGTAGCATAGTATCTCAAACATAAAGTGGAGCAAAACAAACTTGTAAAACGAACAATGCTTTTAGTTGAGACGCTTACGGCGATAAGGCCCCCACTACCAGGAAAACTCTCAGTCAAAGGAAGCTCCTCACTGGATGGAAGCAAACCCTGCTTCTCAACCCATTGGCGTGCAGCATCAACAAGATTCCCACTGCTTCCTCTTGAACCCTCTTGTGCAGCAATATCAGCTTTGTTACCAACAACAATATATGGAACAGGAAGGCCACAAGGGCCACCAGATCCCAAAGGGGCTGAAAATGTCCCAGTTGCAGCAATCTCAGCTGCCCACTTCTGCAAGCTAGTCTTTGTTCTTCTCTGTGAAAGATCGTGAACAAAAATTACACCTGCAAGTTCAAAAAAGGTTTCAAAGTCTAAAATATCAGACAACCAACTTCTAACTGTTACTAATTCTAATTTTCAAAAGTTTCAGAATACCCAAATGTCATTAAGAGACTAATGCAATTAATCCATATAGTGTTAATTAGGGTATTTTGCAAATAAATGAAGTTCTTTTTAGACAGGTAAATCTGTGTGGTTTTTTATTGCAGATTTAGAATAATATTGCTCAATGTTCCCTATCAAAATTATTTTATTTTCAGCATGCAAGGCTTGAAAAAGAGGAACCAAGGATACATAATGATATAATTATCATAAATCCTCTTCCTTATTTTCTTTCCCCCATGGTCACAAATCTTGACCTATCATTTTGTAGATTGCCACATACTGTAAGCAATTATATGTTTTAGAAAACTAAAATAATGGAATCTTTTTTACTCACCATTAATCTGTGAATAAAAAAGAGACCGGCAATCTTTGTACCGTTCATGTCCTGAGACATCCCACAGTTCAACGAAGAAATCTCTCTCAGAATCACCTTTTAGGCTATTAGAAGAGCTGCCTGAATTTCCATAAGTAGTATGCTGGAAAAAGAAACAGAATTTGGTGAAGACTTTACTTTGTGTACAGAAATAATGTATTACTCATGTAACCATACAAGGGGTGGGTGGGTTGGGGGGGGGGGGGTTATTTACCTTCACATCAACTGCACAACCAATTGTTTGAGGAGGGCGAGCAATTGGAGAACCTTTTACAATCAGGTTAACTAACGAAGTCTTCCCAACACCTGCGAAAATGAGAAAACATGCAACTATGATATCTATCAGTGGAGGGAATTGTATCAGGTGTGATTGATGCAAGCAATCACAAGCTCAGAAAATTCTAATTATTTTTACTCATTATTTAACTAAGGTTGACTAATGCACATTTAGGCTTATGAAGTTTAGTGATGAGAAGTACAACCAATTATGTCCAAAGACTGACAACTAATGGGCCTGTTTGGTTTAAGGAAATGTTTTCTACTCCTATTCTATATTTTCATTTTACTAATAATTACAAAGCACAACTTTGGTTTCAGTTTGTTTCCTGTGTTTGAAATTCCGTACTAGAAGTGATGAAAATAACATTTAAGTATAAGGTGAAAACAAGAGACAAAGTGAAAAGAGGCACCATTTGATAATTATTATTGAAAACATAATATAGAAAAAGAAAACATATCATTAAACCAAGTAGGCCCTGATGAGAGATTTTGATGTACTTGACACTGTAATATTTACTGATGCAAACCATAATTTTTCCAAAAAGCTTCAGAAAGCACCATATGCTAGGATATTTTCCAAAGCATATTGCCCTTATGATTACATTAACTACAACTTAACAGTAGAAATGAAATGTCAGCAATATCCCATTAAGAAAGTCTATGTTAGGCTTGCTAGGGATGCCAAATAGGTATAACTACCTAACTGATATAGTAACAGGGAGAGGGAATTGAATAATACAATAATGAGGAGACAGGCTGAGAGGAGAGGACACATTTTGGGGAAGTTAGTTGATTAAAAGGGGAGGACCTGGACCCTCCAATTCCTAGTGGTTTCTACCTTGCAATATATTCTTCACCTTCAACAAAGATTTCCATTTCTATCTCTAGGTTCTGAGTTTGAACCAGATCTTACAGAACACTAAGCAAGCATTATTTCTATCCTCAACCTATTAAGCAAATTTAGATTTCTATTTCCTTTTGCCCAGAGTTGATTTTTACACATGAGGTAGATCACCATTTGCTCAGTTAATGTTACATTTTGCCACAGGATTTTATATTCACGTGAAAAATCTAGTTATTTGCTGCTCTCAATCAGTAGGACTTGGTATTTCCTTAAGGTGATCTTTAAAAAGAAATACTAATTTAAATCGAATCAAGCTAGTACCAATGCTAATAAATTCAAACTTTGAGGAGTCAAAGACACCCAAATCTAATGTTGTCTGATTATCCTTTAATAACTGATTCTGAAGAACTTGGAAAATTTAAGCACACACATCTCGAAAGAGTGCCCGAAGAAATTGTCACGTCAAATTAATTACGGACTCACGTCAGCCGAATGTCAAATCACAAAAAGGTTTCTCAGCAATTTCCACTACCTTCCAAATCCTCGTACATTAAGAACTCAATCCTCTACAAGCAGCCCTACCTAAATAGATTCTCTAAACCACATACCAAAATGAAATATCAATCATCCAAACCATTTCAAATAGAATATCTACAACCTTGTGCATAACACACTCAAAGACACACCTAACATGGTTTAAAAAAAACTGTCCATAACTACGATTTCCATTGCAACATCAAGGTTTTCAGTGTCTCCATGACCAGAACTGCAACTACACATCAAAGATCCGGAAACCATAAACCACAACCACAACTTAAAACCTTGTCAGCTAAAATCATTAACATAACTCTTGAAGCTCCCATTGAGTGTTATATTAGAGCTATGTCATCACCACCATCGTCATAACATTTCTCACTCCCCTGATCCAATGTTTCCAACAGCACTCTCACAAAATCCAAACGGATCCTTAAAGCGCACCCTCGCACACAATCATCGTGCCTTATGTCCACACCACACAATCACAAAACTCCCAATCATAATTTATTTATTTTTTCAAAAAAAGCGGCACTTATCCTAAAACCTCAGTGCAATAAGATTACTACATACAATTCTAAATGAAATCAACAACAGTGGACACACACCCTAGTTGTGTACATCAGAGTATAAACAAGTTTTATTCCACAAAATTCGGAGAAAATAACAAAATTGGTAACAGAAAAGGGTGAATTTTAAAGAAAGCCGAACCTGAATCACCAACAACGAGCACTCTGACCTGCCCACATAAGACCCCACCGTTCAACTCTTGGTTCTCCCTCTCACGGTCCCTCCAGAACATGATTCCTCTTCACCGACGATAATCTCGAAAGACACCTTCACCACCACACGCCTTCAAGTTCCAAAACCCATGTCACGTGAGAATCACGCCGAGATCAGAGCGAGAAGTTGACGCTCCTGCGTCGCCTAGTTCGCGAGAAGATGAAATGGAAAGCGAGAAACTCGAATAGACGACGGATCTGGGGAGTTTGGAAGGCGGTGAAAGGGAAATGGATTAGCGTTAAGATAATGGATTTGCGGTGTGTGTGTTGCACAGAGTCTTGAAAATGGCTCCGTTTTGGCGATGGTGGCAGAGAAAGAGAAAGGTGAAAGGGATGAACAATTCATCGTAATCATGCCATCTCGCTACTCATTCGTGTAAACCACGCGATCCAAGAGCACGTCATCTCCATAAAATGTTTTTACATTCTCAACCCAAAAATATTTATTAAACTACTCTTTTTTAATATATATAAACTTTAGGGAAAATTAATTATGTTTAAGATCTAATTATATGATCAAAGTAAATTATAAACAAGTCATCAGAGTTGAACCTTTGTGCCTAAAACAACCTAAATTATGTAATGGACATTAGTCATCACATAATCAATTGAAATTAAATTATGATTTTTTAAATAAAATAATTATGGAGACAAATGTTATTACTTTTATAACTTAAATTTTTAAATATAAGTTAATAATTAATTTAATTACAAAATGCAAATGATTAATTACTAACCAAAAATAAATGTTATTTTAATGATATCCTTGAAGAATGAAACAAAATAAAGGTAAGGAAAATAACAGAAATTGTATTGACAAAAAAATTAATATTAACTTTTTATATTTGCTATTAACTGTGCCACGTATTTCTTAACGTTGTTTGTTTTAAGTCATTTATTTAAGCAATTTAAGTTGTTTTACAGAATATAAATAAATATATATATATATATATATATATATATATAAATTGTATTTTTTTTTACTTTTTAAATAATAATTATTTATTAAAAACATTTTTTAAAAAAAGTTTAAACAAATTTACTTATTATATTAAGATGAAAATAATAATAATTTTAGGTTTCTTCATCAACCCAACGTAAGACCCAAAACAAATTAAGGGAAGGCCTTTTGGGCCAATTGCTATTGGCACTTACAAAATCATTATTAAACTCCTTTCACTCTTAAAAAAAATATTTTTTTGACGAAAATATGTTTCACACTTCTCACAACACAATTAAATTAAAATTTAACTATGCATTTCATCAGATACACTTCCTAATAACACAATAAAAGCATATTTTCATAATTATTTAGAAAATATTGTTAAAATACTTGGTAAAAACACGTTTTAGTTGTGCCTTTTGATAAAATATTATCGAAATACATATAAAAACTTATTTCGACAAAAAATATTACGTTAAAAACAGGATGAAAGATTCAAGAATTATATTTGAAAAAAAAATGAAATATTGAACAACTTGGTTTTAATAATTTTATTTTGGCTCTTAATGATAATAAAAATACTCATTAATAAAATATCTAAATCCAAACACAAATGGTAAAAAGTATTAGTAATTTCTTCTAATAATAGAGTAAGCGTGAAATTTATACAGAATTTTTTTTCTCAGGATAAATTTTAGTTTATTTACACATAATTGAATTCAATTAATTCATGAGATTGATTTGATTTAAAACTAATGAAAATTAATTGATTCAAATTTTATTTTCTTTCAATTCCAATCTAATAAAGTGGACTAGTGAATACTCCTAAGCCTTATTAATCACTTTATAATAATATTAGTTAGAAAAATAATAAATATTGTTATTGCAAAACTATAGTAAATGCATTGATATTGATAGTTTTTTTTATAGATTTTTTCAAATTAAGCTGAGATGAATTTTCTACAAATTTTACTCAATTTTTTTTTTGCTTTTACATTATCACATTTTTTAAAATTTTAAAAATATTACACTTATACTTTATGATAAGAAAAGTTATTATAATAATAAAAAAAATATAAGTATAATTTTAGAAAAATATTACAATAATAATTGTTTATGTTGAGATTCCTATCCACACCATGTGTCCTAACAAGAAGTTTCCTTAGTGTTGGGTCAAAATCAAACAACCCTATTCAATTTTCTGCAAATTACTACTTTTCAAATTTCATCAAATTGCTAATTGCCCCAATAAATTGATGGGTGACAATGGTTTTCAAAATAATTAATATATAATAGAAAATAATATTATAATATATATATATATATATATATATATATTAAGATAAAGATATACTCATAAATATTATATCTCATCTTACATCAATATTTATGATAATTTATAAATGTTATTATTTTTGAATTTATTTATATATCTTTTAAAGATAAAATTAAATAAAAAATTTAAACCAGATAATATCTTCGATAATAAATAATAAATTAAGATATTCATTAACAATATTATTATAATTAACATCACATTTTATATTATGATTCTCTGTATTATTAAATAATTATTTTTATAACTTCAATGTTTATTCTCAACCATACATTCACTCTCAAGACACTTTTTCCATCACCTTAAACAAATCTTAATTTATTAACAGTAACAAAATAAAATATGAAATTTGAGTCATAGTTTTCTCATTAGTTTCTTTATCCCGTTCTTTTTACAATCATTCTTATTTAAGTTAATATGACTAACAAAGGTTGATTTTGAATGAAGTGAGAAAAAAAAAAATCAAACTCAAACAAAATGCAAAAAGTGGGCGTGGAACTCAGAATGAAGCCTCGGGATCAGAGCTTATAAACTCTCTTGAACCTATTACATGATGAAAATAATTATGATTGATATTAAACCATGGAATGACACATAACTTCCCCTGCATGAAGAAATCTTGCAAATATTTTCTGGGCACATAATTAGGGTAGAGTTGGTGATTTGAAAGGGGCAAAAGGTTTGGAGTTGGTGTCATTTGGTGGATGTAAAATCATCTGAATGTAAGAAGGAGATGGGGCTGTAGTATGTGGAAAAAGGGCTCTCATGATTGTGCACACCTTCATAAGTTGTTATCACATAGCTGGAGTCCTCTCTGTCCCTTTCCACCCTTTTCTTCACAATGCATCCTCCACTTGAACATTTGTAGTAGTTCCTGCCATCATTAATCAAATCCCCCATTTAGTAACTACCACTACAAAATTTAATCTTTCAACTCTTACACCTAAACAAACTTACCCATTAATACTGAATATAACTTATTTTAAACCACTTTACTTATTATATAAGTCAAAATAACACACATTTTAAATGTATTTAACCTAATTACATCTATTTTAGGAAAAGAATCATTCTCTTAAAGTAACTAGGGTTTTTAACTCAAAATCTTAAATGGTCTTTCCCATTTAACTTTTTTTTGTAATTTTATTAATATCAAATTTTATTTCACATTGAAAATCTAATACATCACCCCGTGATATATGTATATAAATATTATATTTTGAAATAAAAACTTTTTACTTTGTCTTTTTGTTAGGAAAGTTAAGAGTGCAAAGAAGTAAGTGAATAATTGATTACTATATAAGTATTTGTTTTTACCTTAAATTGGGACTGCTCTTCACGGACTTCTTGCCGTACTTTCTCCACTTGTATCCATCATCCATGATCTCAAGCTCTGATTTGGTTCTAAACGCGATCCTTCCACCCACCCCTGTTTTGCTTCCATTAATCCCCTTCTTGCACTTTCTGCATAACATTATTCAACTAAGTATCAATATTCATGTTACTAACTATATATATGATCAACACATGCAACGCTCTACATGTAATAAGAAGATATATGTACTACATGGTTTTTGCTTGAACGAAGAGAATGAAAGAGAGAGAGAGAGAGAAAGGACACTTGCATGTTGTTGTCGTTGTTATTGTTCTTAGAGGTTGCACCAGTGGTGAATCCATGAGTGGCATCACTGAAGGTTGCTTTTTCCGATGACTCAGTGCTTTGTGACGATGGAGAGTCTCCATGGTGATGATGAAGGTAATCATCGAGAAGGAGATAATCAGATAGTGCAATCTCAGGGGAAGATGGAAGCATGTTATGATGAACATGATTATGAGAATGGTGAGGGTCAAAGTAGAAGAAATCCATTCCTGGGATGACTTAAATGTAGAAGTAGTAATGAAGAGAAAGAGCATTTTATAAGAGTGAGAGTTGAAATAGAGCATGGTTTTTATATCATTAAAAAACAAAATCTAGAAGGATATAATTAGTTTTCCGTATTAAGCTTTTCTTGGAACCAACCTTCCAAACTCTTTCCTAGATAATACAATGAAGCTTCCTCTGTGATCCACATGTCCATGTCAACTACACCAATCTCACGTCATTCCCTGACGTCACTGTAAAAAACCACTATGTTATCTTTTGATTAGTTTATCTACTTATTATCTCTTTAATTAACCCTAATTATACTAATAAACAAAAGCCACCACCACAAAGATCCCATGGTTGATTTTACCCTAATTATTAATTAATTACCAAAGTTGTGGGCTTGTGGCGGCCGGAGATAGATTTAAGTTCACTGAAAAAAACAAAATTTTATGATCTCATGATTGATAAAAAAAACAAACCACACACGTATCGGCCAAATAATTACTCGTGGGTAAACTTGTTTTTAGGTTTAAACTTGTTTTTCAAGTCTAATAATGTATTTTGATTTTGGTTTATTAATTCTTGCTTTGTTTTGGAGTTTTTTAAAATTATATAAACTATTTTGGTCCTCGTGAACAAAGTGAGTGAATGTGTAAAGGTCGGATTCTTCATATTTATGTGTTATTAATTTGTAAAGAAACATGCAAATGTTGTGTTTTTTTTTCTAACAAAATTTATTAGTGATTCCCTACTTTTATCTATGAGTTCAACTAGACATTTCAAATTATAACCTATCTAGGTTTATGGTTCGTACTTTGTTTAGGTAAAATCATGAGGGTGGGTAGATAATTTTTATTGTTTTAAAATATATAAATTAGTAGGTTGATTACAAATTTTTATGTTATCGAGTTCAATTTTTTTTATGTTGAATTCATTTAATATATTATTATTTATTAATTTTAGGTTATTAGCATTGATAAAAAATAATAATAATTTAAAATCAATTGTAATTATAGACGATTATGATATATTCACGTGAATCTTATATTTGATTATTCAAAACAAATATTAAAGATAAATATAAATTTTTTAGAAATGAAACCTACACTTATAAAAAGAAATTGAGATATCTACTCAAATTTATAACACATTTTTTTTTTCAAATTATAATACGAGTCTGCCAATAAATCCATAGAAGACAAATCAACATAATAAACATTATTATTATAGAGATAATAATACTTTCAATAATAATAATAATAATAATAATAAAAAGATACAAGTTTTTCTTTTAATCTAAAACTACTGATTTAGACAAATCTAAAGTTTTTAATCGAACACTTTCAATGTAACATTTATTTTAAGATATAGAAAACCTATTACAAGTATTCTCTATTGTAAAATGTACTAGAGATATGTCTGAGTCTTACTTAGAATGACTGGATTTTTCATTAAACACCTAATCTGATAATTAGTGTTATATAAAAATATGGACAAAAAATATATTGATTTTTTATAAATGAAAATTTTAAAAATTCAAACTAATGTTAACTAATCTTACAAAAGACTAACAGTATATTTAAATTTTATTTTCATTTCATCTTGATTAAGGGTAATATATATATATATATATATATATATATATATATATATATATATATATATATATATATATATATATATAGAAGAAGTGTAGATTTAAAAAAAATATCAAATCTTATTCATAAAAACGCGTCTATATTAAAAAAAAAAACATTTACTTGTTCTTATTTTAAAATAAATTACATGTCAAGATATTTTAAATGAAAAATATTAATTAAATAATATAAACCATGTAAGATATAACAACTGTGCTATAATTTCAAATTATTTGTAACATTAATATAGATTACATATTATAATGTTAATTTCGAGTGTGTATAATTCACAGAAATATAATGAGGTTTAAAAAAACAAAAACTAATGTGGTATATATTTGAACCCACAAACTTAAGCTAATCACCAAGTATAGGATCACTATGATATGACAATAACTTAACCAATTATGCGTATGAAAAATATATTATATATAACTTAAATGAAAAAAAAACTAATATATATAACAATTTAGAAAAAAAAAACAATAGGTTAAGTTTCTTTACTTAACCTGTTTTTTTTTTAATTTAAAACTCTATTTATAAATATCACAGAAAATGTAATTAATTTTTACCTAGAAAAATGTAAAAAAAATAATTATGATATCAAGTCTTTTTTTAATGATTTACTGTTTTTAATCTATTATTTTTTTTTCATGAATTTTAAAAAATTCATTATCTCTTCTCATTTAAAAATTATTTGAGAAAGTAATTATAAAAAAATTTAAACTGTAAAATTTCTCCAATAAAAAATTACTTTAAATATATCAATAAGTCCTTATTAAACTGAATAATATTAATTTTTTTAAATATACATTTTAAGAGGAACTAAATTAAATCATTTAAAAATTTATAGTGTTAAGAATAATTAATCCATTATTTTAACATTTAGTAATTGATACTGATAGTTGATTTTGTAAAATATCTACTGATTCTTCCTTTGTTAATAACAAATTACATGTTAGCATGTATAGGTACATTCATAATCGAAGGAAACGACACTGCAAATAATTTTTTTCTTTAATTTTTTAATCATATATTACTATTGGTAGAAAGTATCCATAAACTTTAGGATTTCATGGATTTATTTTCATTGACTATTTATTAATATAATCATAATAGTTCAAATTAAATATATTATACACTTAAGATAAATTAATAATGATAAAAAAAATCTCAAATCAATTAGATTACATCTCAACTAACATCATTGACTTATATATATTGAATTAAATTCAAAAATCTGTATTTATTACACTAATTTTTTAATTGAATATTTTTAATATAAATACATTTATTTAAAAAAATTATGTGAAAAAAATAAATTTCTATAATTTAGTAATTCTTATTTATTCATTTATTTATTTTTGGAAGAAGGTGTAGAATGTATATAATATAAATAGATATTTTGTCACATTCTTTGTCAATAATTTTCCAAAATCATTCATTTATTTATCTATAGCACTGTTCATTACGTCTGGGTAGGTGAGAACAATAAGACAGAAAAAATATATATAAAATAAGAAGAAAAATTAAAATTATTTAATAACTATTTGTATTCACATAATTATGTCTTTATATGTATATTTTTAACACAAAGTATTTTATTGTTTAAAAATAAAAACAAATACTCTCGTTGGTTTTTAAAATAAGTCATCTCTAGTATAATCATAATATCAACATGAACAATAAGTGGGTTGAATTTCTATATATATATTACTCCTTACTATCTTTATTAACAAAATTTTCACTAATCATTAGTACAAAATACAAATAATCGTAATATTTATAATAAGATAAATAAAGTAAATAAACAAATTCATAATTATATACAAATTTTAAAAAATAATAATTAATAATCATTTTCATCCTTTAATAAACTGAGTACAACATTTGAAAACATATGATGTAGTAAATCTAACTATATCAAAAAATTTGAAGTTCAAATATGAATAATGGAAAGATGACCTAAATCATTGTTGACCCTTAATTTCAATGGGAATTTTGTTATAATAAATATAAAGTATTAGGTAACTTAAAATTTGAGATTAAATATAATTTATAAATACTCTTATCTTATAATTAAATAGTATATTTGTTCAAAATAAAATTATAATCGAACTACTAGATTATAAATTAGATATAATTATCTTAAATTATAGGCTAATTAGAAAAAGAATTATCGATTTTTTCTAATTTTGTCTAGTTTAGTTACTCTTAGATTAAAGGAATGGTATGAAAGCAAAACAAGAAATATAATAAGAGGGAAAGTAGAAGGAAATAGGTGAGACGATAAGAACATTGACTTCACATGACAAGGTTGTGGTCAATGTCATTCCCACCCAACACCAAGGACGCCGTCATCGTATTTCTATTCAATACTCATGTGCTTTCAAATCCAACGTGAGGATTTAGAACAACCAAGACACTCACCAAAAAACATGAAATTACCCGGAATTTACTACACTCAATAAATAAATAAGAAAAATTAATAGATTGAAGGAATATAGTCCACACTAAATAAATGAATAATAAATTGATTATTTTTGAGAAATTATTGATAAAGGTGAAGAAACCACTTTATCGGTTGGCAACTAAGCACTTCCGAGTGGAAAAGTGAATAATAGATAGATATTGGGCATGAAAGTGATAGCCATGTACCATTCTGTAATTAATATAGGATCATTTTTAAGTTTGTAATATATATATATATATATATATATATATATATATATATATATTTTCTCCTATTAGTATGCTTAGATGAATTATGATGTTTAATATATTTTTTCTTTGAAATTTCATTTACAATTATATTTTAAAAAAAAGTTTATCTTTAAAATATATTTTTGTCTTGTATATTTGAGATTTTATATTAAATTATATAATATAATAAATTGGTTTATAGATGATGTCTAATAAAATTTTAAAATAATCAAAATCGAATATCACAGAGAAAATATACATATTAATATTGCTAATTTCTTTCAAGTGCATAATCTCTCCAATAATAATATATATATATATATATATATATATATATATATATATATATATAACACGTTATATTATTCTAAAATATAAAAAAAGAAAAAAAAATTCTTTTACAATACACGGTAAATATCACAAGAACAAAAACCTTAAATCATACTTTTTAATTACTAAAACGTGTAGAGAAATAAAATATATATAAATTATTATTAATTTTAATTATTATTATATAAATTTATGAATAGATACTATTAAAAATCATAGGATTTAAATATTTATTAAATTATTTAATATATTGTCGATTAATTTTATTTTAAAACATTAATATTAATTACAGTTAAAATTAACTCTAATTAACGAATACACTATTTACTTATCTCAATCTTATAAAATTATATTAAAAATTAATTAAATTAATTATAATAATATAATAAGTTCCACTATAACATGAGGTAATTTATATCAGCAGTACTCTTGCATCATGCATCCACGCTATAAAAGCATAGCATAATGTTTTATCCTACATTTTACATTTAAGTGATGTCACATGTGTCACGTGCGTCTTACATGATCACGTGAAGATATACACAATGGAGAAACTACATTGAACGATAACGTATGGATAGAACACGATCACAGTGATTTGATGTCAAGTTTACATTGGACATAATCAAACGTTGTAAAGAATTTATTAAAATAATGTCCTAACATATATTTTCATTACGATCCCTAGAAATGAATGTTAAAAATAATTTCTATAATTGTTTAAAGTCAGAAAGCACGTGAGTCTATTTTTTTGTTAATAAACTTCATTCTTATTATTGTATTTCCCCATTTTAAAATTATTTCACAAATAATGACAAACAAATACTTTAATAAGGACAACATTTTTATAATTTTCCCAAAATAAGAAGAAAAAAAGAAGAAGAATAGAAGAATGTCTCACATATTAAGCATTAAAATCTTCTTATTTTTTGCATTTCTTTTAATTTCATGTCATTTTATATTAAATTTAACTTTACTTTCTTTTGTTTTAATTTTAGCAATCGTTTTATAAAATTATTTTCTTTAGGAAAATATGGAGTTACCTCCCCTTAAGTTATGCTAAATGACTTACAATAAACACTTATATTCCTTATGTTTTCAATAAAATGTCGTATCGTTTTATTTTTAAATAGAAAACTCTCTTGTGTTTTAAAAGATACTCATTTTTCTTATTTTATTAAAAGTAATACATTAATGAAAACTTAAATAAAAAATTAAAATTAAAATTGGTAGCTTATAATTGTTTTTTTAAATTTTTAAGTTTTAAATTTGAATTATTTGTTAATATGTTATTTTGAAATTAAATAAGATAAACGGATGTCACTTTATTAGAAAAAAAATAAAAAATAAACGTTATTTATTAAAAATATAGTAGGATTTAATGTTTATCTACAAATAAGAAATATATAAATATTATTTTATTATAAATGTAAGTGGGATGAATTTCTATTTTAAAATCAGTAAAAATGTGATATTTAATATATTCCTAAAAAGAGATAAGTACAATTTTTTTCTTTCATTTTTCTTTTTAAGTCTATTAACTCATAAGCTAATTAAATTCACAATAATACTACTGTCATTAATAATTATCCAACTAGTTCTCATAATCTAACTGAGATTTCACTTTTCTTCTTGAAACCAGAAGTACTCAAATGAAGTGTGTTGAGACATTGGTACCTCTTAAATGCTAGTTTCAGAAAAGACAATAGTAGTGCTGTAAATTAAATGCAGGCATCATGGGTTTCTTCAAAGTGTGTCAGATGAGATTAGATTGCAACATATGTAACCGAACTGTCTCAACTGTCCAACCGTGAAGCAGAGTAACCTCCTTTATTTGCACCCCTACACACTTTTGGTGTTAGATCCAACAATTAGAGGCAACCACGTATGTTTCAAAGTCAACTAAGGAAAGTTAAAACATTGGTGATTTGTGACATAACACCTTTTTTATCTGTTAAAAAATAATCATGCTCCGCTGTCACTGGAACTGGTTTTGGTTTGCTAATCACATGATGCTCCCCTGCCTCTTTCAAATGCAGAAATGAAATAAAAAGAAAGAAAAAAGCAATTCCCCACAAAGAAGGACATCACCAACAACCAGTAAGAGGAATCCAGAACTTCCCTTTTTCTCTCTTAAGGCCACACCATTTGTTTCCTTCTTTTCCATTTCCATTTCCTATTAAAAAGAGAAACTTGTTCTTTCTGCCAACACCCTTTTGAGTCTCCAACATGGATATTTCACAGAGAAAGCGAACTTTGCTTAAGGTCATTGTTCTTGGTGATAGCGGGTATGTATGATACCTAGTTTCAACTTTTGAATTCTTTCCATTGTTCTTTTCTGCAGTCCAAGCTTTCCTTCTAAGTATCTTGCTTTAGTGAGATTGTTAATATCACTTCCCGTAGGCTTCTTTATTGATGAATGTGAATGCTGATTAATCCCTTTTCTTCATCTTTTTTTTTCAGCGTGGGAAAGACTTCTTTGATGAATCAGTATCCATTTGGCATTTGCATTTTCAGTTTGAAAGAAAATGAAAAAATAAGAAAGCGAAAGTTTGTTAGTTTTTCTGATGTCAGTGGTTCGCTGTAGGTGCATTATTCATTCCAAATCATGAATGCTTTTGAGCTTTTCACTGTTTTGCCTTTTGTTTTGTTTCGTTTTTCCAACAAGTCTCTCTGAAGTCCCGACCCAGTGTTGGTACATGAGTTGGCACTCGCTGTTTTTTATCACACTGGGTTCAGGTCCAGCTGGCACAATATTTTTGGGTGCATAACACCAAAATTAGTGAAAAAAAAAAGAATATATTTTGGATATTGATAGTACTTTTTCGTAGCAATTATTATCTTGATCGGAACTGAATTAAAACAATGGCTCAAATTGGGTTTTTGAGTTTATTTTTTATTACTGCATCTGGGTTTGATACAAAGCATGCAACCAGAAAGTAGCCTATACTACAACATTGTGGAACTTTAACTTTCAATTCAGATACGTTTATAGAAAATTTAGCCAGCAGTATAAAGCCACAATTGGTGCTGATTTTGTGACAAAGGAGATTCAAGTTGATGACAAACTGGTAACATTGCAGGTGAGCAATTTAAAATGTGATCAAAGTTATATCCCTTCTGAATTCACTCTTGCTTTATGTCTGAGTCTACTAAAAAGGTAAAAATTTCAGTACTTTTTCAACTTCTGGTTGATACAAGGAAATTGAAAATATAACATTTTGGCAGATTTGGGATACAGCAGGGCAAGAAAGGTTTCATAGTCTTGGGGCTGCATTTTATAGAGGGGCAGATTGTTGTGTGCTGGTGTATGATGTAAATATACAGAAAACATTTGATACACTAAACAATTGGCATGATGAGTTTCTTAAGCAGGTATGTTGTTACAGTTCATACCATCTTTCAATTGCTCCTCTTTTTGTATTTGTTTATCAGAGTTTTTATCTTTTGTTAGAATCACATTGTACTTGAGTAGAAGTCTAACCTAACCAGACCAAACCTAGTTAGATAAAAAGTCTTTCCTATAATCCAAACTTAGCAAACATGGAAGTTATGTATGTATGGTCTTATCAAGTTGCTGTTTAATCATATGAAACTGATCTTATTCTATTCTACATTTTTCGTGTTTGATCTCAGGCTGATATGAACGATCCTGAAACATTTCCCTTTGTATTACTTGGGAACAAGGTTGATGTAGACGGTGGAAACAGTAGAAGGGTATGGAGTTCACCCTAAATCATTTTGCAGCAATGAACAATACTTTATAATATAGAACAAGATAACATTAGATCAAGTTGTAAAAAATATATATACGAACATTTTCTAATTAATTTCTACATCCAAATACTTGAACCTCTTCATGCAAGGTGTTTGAAATGCTCAATGGTACCCCTGCCATTTGTTGCAGGTCACTGAGAAAAAAGCTAGAGACTGGTGTGCTTCCAGGGGAAACATACCATACTTTGAGACCTCTGCAAAAGAGGGCTACAATGTTGATGACGCTTTTCTATGTGTTGCAAAAATTGCTCTAGAAAGTGAACACGATCAAGACATGTAAGAATCAACATTGTATTTTTCTTCTTTCTTATTAAGATGACTAGGTTGTAGTAATTCTTCATAAATGAATGCTATGCACTTATGCAATCCAAATATTGTTCTGTTCATGGCAGTTATTTTCGAGGAATTTCTGAAGCAGTTTCAGAAGCAGAACAACGAAGTGGTTGTGCATGCTGAAGTTAATGTATTTTACTGAACATATTTGGTTTTGTATTTCGGTAGTAACATTCAATTTATTAAGGTGTATTTATTTTTAAATTCCTAAATTAGCCTGTCAATGTGCATTGAAATCCCTCTTTATTATCTCTATATAAAGTTTTTCTAACCAAATCTAATTTAATTGTTTTTAATTTATAGTTAGACACGGACAATTTTGTTTATAAATTAAAAAAGAAGAAGATAAAATATACATTAGAAATTACCCATTAATTCATTTATTGAATATCTTTCATATAGTTTTTTTTTTAATTTGTACATAAATTATTTTTAATTTATGAAAAAATTATTTTTTTGGTTTTTCTTTTTAAAAGTTACGAAGAGAAAATTTTCTTATTATTGAACCATTATATTATTTTATTTGGTAAAATAATTACTTAAGTCTACGAGATTAAATTGCATTTTTGCTTTTTGTTTTTTTAAGTATAAATTGAATCAAATTTATAAATTATATAGGCAAATAATGATTTATGACTTTTATAAAAATGTTATTTTACTTTTCTTATGAATTATATATTACATGATTAATTTTTTAAGTCCCTATGTTTTTTATATTTGATATTTCAGTAAATATAATCAAACCGAGGGAAAGACCATAGGCAGTATTAATCTCAAATGCTCAGAAGTTTATTAACATTCTTAAGTATTTTCAAATTTTGATAATCAAATTTAATAGTTACAATTTTATAATATTTTAAATAAAATCATATCAATTTAACTTATTGACTCAATGTACCAATTTCTTAATTTTATATATAATTAAATTATAAAACTAAAAAAAATCTAAATATTATGAAAATATTTTCTAATATATAATATATATTTCAAGAAAAATAATATAGACATGCATATAAAATTATGTTACCCAAAACAATATTTAATTAAATTATATGAAATGGACTTATTACTACTATACATTTTAAGTAACAGCAAAACACCCTAAAGCAAACAGGACTAAATTAAACTAGAATGTATAATTAATTGGATTATAGAAAAAAAAATTCTTTAATTTATTTTGGATTTTTTTTTTTAATTTCGTGGCCGATATTAGTCGATGGAGCTGAAAACATGAATTACGTAGTAGAAACATCAAATTCGAAAATTCCAACCAGACACGTCACACACACACACACAATGGTTGAAATTTGAAGCAAAGCACCACACGTGTTGTATGTGTAGTTTCTCTCTCTTCTCTCTCTCTCTCTCTCTGTGTCCAAACTCCAATGGCTTCCTCTGCAATCAGTACTATGCACTCTCCTCAGTTTGTTCGCCTTCCTATCCCCTTCCCGCAATCTTCTTCACCTTCTATTCGATTTTCACTGCCAAATCTCAAACGCCCCAAATCACTCTCCATTCGATCAGTTTCGATTCCCGGTACGCCTTATATCCTTTCACTTCCTATTTTGTTAATTTTCGTGCTAATTAACATCATAATTTTATGGGTTAGAATAATATGATACATCTTTCCGGACGCACTTTCTTCAATTTGAAGATTTTGTTGGGAAAGTGTTACAAATGATTTCGTTTCCATTTAGTTAGAGTCTCGATTGTTTGCTAGAGTTTGTTGCCTTTGAATTCATGGTTGGTAATCATATGCATAACTCGAGCTATGCCTACCATAATTTTTCAGAAGGTGTGTTGGCATGGGTAAAGGATGAATGTAAACCGGTGGATAGATGCATGTCGGAACTCTTTTGTTATAATTTTTTGTTCCTTATATGGGATTTTGACATAGTAGACAGGTTTATTACCCTTTCATTTAGGGCTTTGTTTGGGTAAATAGCCTAGGGCTTCATTAGAAAAACCTCTCAATATATACATTTAGGAGAGAAAAAATAGAAGGAAAAATGAAATTAACTTCTCCATTAGGCAAAATTAGCTTATATATTGCAGAAGATGTTTCCTATTAGCTTCTCCAAAATCTGATATTTTAACTTATACATATGCTAGCTTATATAAGCTAAATTCATTTTTTTTTCTTTCCTATTATATTTGTTTACGGAGATTTTCCTCCAAACAGGCCTTTAATCATGCACTTAATGAATTAGTGTCTAGTATAAGTTGCTTTTGTAATCTAAAACAGAAAATAAAGTTAAACTGATTTTATATTAGTTGTAAATTGTTCTCAATAGTTATAATCCAGTATTTCTTATTGAAATAAGTTGAAATCAGCTTTATGGACAACCCATTAGTTATTTTTTCATAGGATCTCAAAATTAATTGGCCAAGTGTCTGTGTTATAAGATAAATTTTATTAAGCTCTTCCAAATTAGCTGATGGAAGATATGATGTCAGTCATGTTAGCCTCTGTATAACCGAAACTACATCTAAGGCTCTTGGTCTTGGATGCACATTCTTGGTCAAATAAGGCCTTGGTTCAGCAACCTGGAAGGCTAATTTGACCAACTATTTGCATATTCAATGACCACAAGAATTTTTCCCATCAGGGATTAATATGAGTAACAGTTGTTTATGAATTAATATGAAATTTACAGCATCAACCATGTTTTGTTCCACTAGATGGGTTCAGCTACATTGATCCAACGATGACATGATGTTTTGTTGTAAATCATGCCAATTTGATTTTTAAAGGGAAATAATAGGAGTTAAAATTTGATAATACTTTGTGATTGTTTTACACTTTCATGTGATGAATTGGCGCATCATTAAAAGATCTTGACTTCCTAGGTAGCTGTTGTGATGGTAAAATTTTCAGAATCTTTTAATGTTTTGGCATTACATAATCAGATGATGGTGTAAAGAAATTTTACACTGATGCTTGGCAGTGGATCTCAATTAGGCATTATATACATATATGAAAATTTAGATGATGGATATTAGACATTTTGAATTTCCTGACCTGAAGAACTATCTTAGCATGTTATGTAGATTAGTGCTCTAAGTAAATCCAAGATAAAACTGGAGTCTTTTTCTGTTATCAACATTCACTCTGGTTTTAATACTGTAATATTATTCATTAGAGAGGCAACCGTGTGCTTTTAATTTTGTTAATTACCAGTGTGTGCTACGCGAAATGCTTTTCCCACCTTATTCAGCACCTAATTAATATTAATCTTTGTTTTCACTCTTCCCACCTTAATATCTTTCAGCTGCAACAGCTTCTGGGTCTCTGGCCCCTGCAGTTTCTCTTACAGATAATGCACTGAAGCACTTGAATAAGATGAGATCTGAACGAAATGAAAATTTATGTTTAAGAATAGGTGTTAAACAAGGTGGGTGCTCTGGTATGTCATACACAATGGATTTTGAAGACAGAGCTAACAAAAGGCCAGATGACTCCATCATTGAGTATGAAGGTTTTGAAATTGGTATGCTTCATAACCTGGTTCTTATCATTGACATTTATAATTCACAAGGAATGATTAATTTTGTGGTTTATATGGAGAAAGGGGGGTAAAATATTTAGTAACAAATTTATTTGTCAACTTGCCAATGCACTTATCCTTTATAAACTCTAACACCACAACTTCTGTATAAAATTATTCTCCTAATTAAGCAATTTGACCACGACAAAGTGTGAGCTGGTTGACACTTGGCAGTTACAAATAGGAGGAGGATACTGAGTGCTTTGTAGTACTGATGTTAATCTTAATTATATTTTTATGTGGTAGGAGGTTTTATGTTAATGTTTATATATGACTGATTTTAGGATTCATCATCTAAAAATTTGTTAGCACAGCAAAACACCTTATTCTTTACGCGGGGGAGGGAAGGATTCGATGCTGTGAATTTATTTCCTTAATCAACGGCAACAGTGTCGGACTGATTTAGAACATAACATTTTTTTTTCCTGTACGGATTTACTAATCTTCCAGGATCCAACTTCCAATTATCATTATTTAGCACATCTATCACCTTCTCTCTACCGTTTTTGCTTTCCTCCTCAATACCCGAAATTCCGCGGACATTTATCATTATTCTTTAGGAAATGCCAGTCAATACCCTACTAGTTCTATGGAGTTTCAATGAGAAACAATTTGAAACTAAGTTGAATTGAAAGCTTGGTCCGCTCAACATGAACTTTTTTATTTCTTTTTCAGCTTGTATTGTCAAAGTTTTTGCATAGAGAAACAGTTACGGATTTTGTTGTTTTTAAGACTGCATATCAATTGCTTCCAGTACTTACTGTACTGGGTAAATAAAAGAAAAAACAGTGAGCAAACTGTCTCCCACCTTACGCCCAAGCAAAAATGATGCATGTACATGGAGATTATGGTATTGGAGACTTTCCTCTATATTTTTGTTTCTTAGGTTCACCATCCATTGTACTTTTCTGTGATAAACGTCCCGACAGCAGCACTTAATGTTTAAATTTGTTGTCTAAGTCTTAATACCATAAATCATTGCATGATATACTTTCTCGATTTGTTTCTGCAGTCTGTGATCCTAAAAGCCTACTCTTCATATTTGGCATGCAATTAGATTACAGTGATGCTCTGATTGGGGGAGGTTTCTCTTTCAAGAATCCTAACGCGACACAGACTTGTGGATGTGGTAAATCCTTTGCAGCCGAAATGTAAAATCATGTTTATAGACAGTAGTTGCAATACTAAGGTTATTGTTTCTAGCAACACTCTGGACTAAATATAGACTTTTATCACTAACCTAAATATATTTATGTTCATTGTTCAAAAACACAATAAAGTACTAAACATTTGTTATTTGATTTTCTATTTATATTTCTTGTGCTACATCATCAGTCATTCATCTTTTCAATTTTTTTAAGAAAATCTTTTTGTTATGATCTAAAAATACTGGAAGCAGAGTTGCCATTGAACAAATCACATTTATGGTTATTGCATTGAACTTTGTCTGAATTGATGGAACGTTGGAATGGAGATGAAATGCAATGAACTAAAATATAATGTAATAAAACCTTCATTCCATCATTGTTTGGATTGTTACGGTAGAATGAAACAAACTTTCAAGTCCATCCTGTTACTCCCAAATTGGAGCGAAAGTAAAGGTAAAACATTCAATAATCCGCTGGTTTTCATCATATTCCAACCTCTTTTATCCCCTTTCACTCAATCCTCATCTACTAATTCAAGCATAGCAGAGAGTACCTACTGGCTGCTTAAGTATGACTGAAATTAGATAAAAACTAGAAGCTGGAATATGAAGAGAAAAATGTTCCAGGTTTAGGATTTAGAGAAAAAATGAATATGAAAAGAAATTTTCTTACGTTAATACCCTTTGTATGACAAAAGTCTTATTTATGGAGGAATGTTATTACATCGATATATATTGAGTATTTAACACAATTCATAATACTTACATAACATACAATGAAAAGTCTTCCAAGTATCAATCTGTTGGAGAGGCATACGGAGCATTCAATTACTCAAATTCGCAAGTCTTGTGCCTGTTAAGAATAAAAGGCTTAATAGATATACTCAACTTCATGTCGGTATAGTTTGAGAATCTCCCAACTAGCTGCTTGTGTCTCCTGACTTCACTAGTATGATGTGTCTCCTCGTTGTTATACATGTCATCGCCCCTTCCACGTGGCACGAAGTGACCATTGTACTCCAACTTTATAGGAAAATGTTCTCGTATGACATGAGGCTTTCAAAAGAAGAAATTTGATGAAAAAATTTCTAGAAATAAATTTATTTGTATTTGAGCATGACATAATTTGATGAAAAAACTTCATTCTTCATGAGATATCACTCATGAGGGATCCTTGTATTTAACTTGGGATAATTGGACCAAGAGACTTCCTTCTTCAAGATGTATTTCTCATATGGGATCTTCGTGTTCAAATTTGGCATAATTAGATGAAGAAGTGTTTGTTTTTCATCATATTCTTACATTTGATCTTTTTTTCTTTTTTATTTTTTTTTTTAATTTTACGATGAAACTTCATTATGAAATATTTCTGGCTAAGTTGAATTTACTCAATGGGCAAGCTCAAACTTAAGATGGTCAAGGACTAGAACTTAATGTACGGAATCGAGCTACACTCGAGTTCGAATTTATTTAACGCTCAAGATGGGAGATTGAATTTTGTTGACTTTGATATGCCACTTTCCAAGGTCTATATTTGGAATGTACACAAAGTTTATGTATTTCTTCCTAAAGTTTATTTATTTATTTCATATTGTTAGTGGAAAATCGATACAAGGATCGAAAAACGAAGAGAGAAAATTGAAGATCATATGATTGGTTAAAAAGTTGATAAATCGAAAAGATGGTTGTAAAACATTCGATGACCACGAGATAGTACGAACACATAAATCGAGAATGGAAATCGAGAATCAGAAGATGGAGGAAATTCGATGAAAGTAAGAAATCGATAATAAAGTATGGAGTTTAAAGTTAAGGTTAAGGAAATCATACTCGATATCTGGAATCGAAATCGAGGGAAACGGTTATCATGCACATGGAACATGGGGAGTGACTTTCCAAATTGTGGCTAAAGTTAGAAATCGAGGAACGGTTAAAACGCACATGAAACGTGGAAGCGGTTTTCTAAACCGTAGGCTAAGGTAAAAATTGAGGAACGTGCACATGGAACGTGGTGACAGTTTTTTTTAACTGCTCTTGGGAGGTTACATTGAAGGATGCCTATAAATAGAACGAAGCTGGAAGAAGAAGGGGAAATTGACAGAGACAACAGAAACACAAGTGAAAAGTCTACCGGAGAACGACAAATCATGAAGTTTTTGGCGATCTGGATTTTCATTCTCATTGACTATTTTTACCGCTTTCTTTACTTTCTTTGGTAACTTATTTTCAGGCAATTTACATTCAACAATTTAGGTTTCCATACTTTCAATTACTTGTCAGTTATCTTTAATGCAATTTAAGATTTTATATTTTCAAATGTTTGCCATTTACCGTTTCTGCAATTTCGACGTCCTGTCATTTACTTTCATGCAATTTTAATTCTGTCATTTACAGTTAATGCAATTTCGAGGTTTCTGCAATTTTACATTTTTCTGCAATTTAATCTGCACTGCTTCTTCGAGTGTTTTAGTAAAAAAATATAAAAAATAATACTCTCGATTGTCAATCGGCACACTAGGTGACGTTGTTAGCTTTTCTTGATACTATGAGATTTTCGATTCTCATACATATTTCGATTGAAAAATCATTTGCTGGCCTAAGTAAAAAGAATCTACGTGGTTGAAATTTGTTTAGAATCAAATCTCCAAAAATTCAAAATCGATCAAATTTCCACTAGAAACAAATTGGCGCGCCAGGTAGGGGTGACGTTGTGTCGAGAAACACAAAAAATTGGCTAGTTCGAAAGTGTATGAGATTAAGGAGTGGGCGAGTAATAAGAATGAGTCAAAATCCACCAAATAGTCAGAATAACAGTGAGATTCTAAATAGTTCACATCCACCAAACACTGGGGGGCAAGTTCACAATGGGAATATGCCTGTAACATCGACAACTGTGAGTGCGTCGATGCCTGTGAGTACTGAACAAAGCCCATGCACATTAGCAAATACTCAATTAGGGTCTAGTACTGTAATGTCAAACAATATGCAAACTACGGGAAACCCCGTAACAACATATGCAGGTCCGCATATGAGTGTAACGCCGCCTGGTTTTTCGTTTAATAATATGAATAGGGCTGGTACTTCTTCAATACAACGAAGTACGAGATTTAACCTAGGAATGCCCCAAAACTTAGGAACGTTTCAAACCTTGGATATGCCTCAAAATTTTGGAGTATCCCCAAATTTAGGGGTGTCTCAAAATTTAGTAACACCCCAGAATTCAGGGAATGCGCAGAATTTAGGAACACAATAGACGCCTCCCATATCAAACCTAGATCACAAAGCAAATCTGGATCACAGGAGATATGCATTCGATAGAGATTATCATCGATCCAATTTTGAGACTATCGAAAACGCTAGTACTGGAATTTCCAGTAATTCATTAGGAGTGCTTCGACAACAAATGGATGAAAGCAATTTTGAGATGATTAACATGTTATCACAACAGTTGACTACAACATTGAACCCATTAGTTCAAAACACTACCACTAGTTTTGAGATATTAGCAGACCAAATGACACGTATCGGGGATGCATTGACAATACCTCGACAAACGAGGGTCGAAAATAATGTCAATCAGAATAATAACCAAAATGTTAATATCAATCCCCTTTATTTATTAAGGAGAAATCGAAACAATGATCAACATCAGCATGTGGGGAATGAATATCAACATGTGAGGAATGATACTTGCAGAAATTTAAATGAGGGATTTCAAAATATGTACAATCAGAATAACATGCAGTACAATCACATGCTGGGACAAAAGATGAATCCCCAAGGAGTGGAATTAAGACCACCCAATCAATCGTACTTTGTTTCTCCTTTTCCAAATACGATTCTCGAGACAGAATTACCTCGAGGATACAAGATACCCAAATTCACCAAATTTGCTGGAGAAATTGGTGAATCCACTATCGAGCATGTGGCGCGATATCAAATCGAATGTGGAGACATAGCGATGAGTGAGGAATTAAAAATAAAATACTTCCCTAGTTCGTTAACAAAGAATGCTTTCACTTGGTTTACTTCGTTGCCACCTAATTCGATATATAATTGGTTGCAGCTGGAAAGAAATTTTCATGAGCAATTCTTTAGGGGGGAGACTCAAGTAAGTCTTATCGACTTAATGAATATAAAGAGATATAATCATAAAAGTGTAGATGATTATTTGAATAGATTTAGACAAATGAAGTCGATATGTTTTACTCAAATTCCCGAATTTGAATTAGTCAGAATGACCTCTACAGGCTTAGAATTCTCGATTAGGAAGAAGTTAGTTAATTTACCATTGAATGACATGACTCAGCTAGCCGATAAAGTGAGAAGAGTGGAACAAATCGAATATGAGAAACAAAGGTACAAGAAATTTGAGAAACCTATGAAGAAAGATAGGGTAGCATATATAAATGACATATATGAGGAAAATCCCAGGACAGAAGTAGATATTAAAGAATATGTCGATGAGAAAGTAAATATAGCAGAGCTCAAAGTAGGAGCTCCATATATTTGTAAACTGCTACAGAAAAATGAAGTAAAAGACAATATGACAAATCACACATATACTTTTGATGTAACAAAGGTAGATAAAATCTTTGATATTTTATTGAAAGATAAACAGATTAAGTTGAGTGATGATCATAAATTACCTTCTGCAGAACAAAGAAATGGTCGAAAATATTACAAATTTCATAATATTTATGGACATTAGACTAATAATTGTATATATTTCAGGAACACGATACAAGATGCGATCGACCAAGGAAGATTGAAGTTTGAGGAAATGTCAATGAAAGTGGATACGAGTCCATTTGAAGTTCAAGGAGGGTATGTCGAATCCCAAACGGGCATGACTGAAGATGTCCGATTGATAAATTTGACCTTTATAGGTATGGTCGATGTTACTGAAGACATTGATCCCAGACATGTCAGAATGGACATGTCAGAAGAAGACATAGAGTTTGACCTAAGTGAGTTCGAGAAAGAATTCGAGAGAGAGATCTATCCT